TTTTTCATTAGGGCAGGGACAGTTGTAATAATTGTATAACCACAGCTTAAGCCTTATTGGCTGTTGACGTTCCTGAGGGGAAAAAAAAAACAAACACAAAAAACACAAAAAACCCCCCACAGCAACCAAACCAAAACAAACAAAACTCCCAAACCACACCTTACCAGCATTCGTTCTGCTTAAATTCTAAGTAACATTTGCCAAAAGTCAGAAAGTTTTTAATATGGTGGAGACCAAATACGCGGGAAAGAGCGTGACACTTTCATAAGAGGATAAAAAAATCTACTTTCAGCTCTCCTATTACTGCAATACAAAATACTTACGCAGGGGGAAAAAAAAACTTATTTCATTGTATATGTTCTAACATCTTTGGCAACAGGCAAAAATTTTCTATATAAACCACTTTCTAATTTTGCAAATCAATGATTCGCTACGAAGTTAGATGAATTAACTCAAAACAAACAAAATCAAATTTCAAATGACAAAGTGAAAGCCTCCAATATTTACAGTCATTTTTTCTCACAATCTTACAGGTTGTTTGTTCAAGTTCTCCTTTTCTTGTCAGCTGGTTACAGCTGAGAAGGAAAAAAGATTTCCATGATTTTCATCCTCACAAAAACACTCCCTTCTGGCTGGTCAGAAAGCAAGTATCCATTAGAGAAATGTAAAATTTTTATTTTACATATTATAACTCACCTGCTTGGGAAGCCGGAAGAGAGAATTTTTGTAAAATATATCTTTAGCTTGATTCCATGTTCCATCAATGATGATCATAACAGAGGGACTAGAACACATCACAGCAACTTCTTCCAAATTGGTTGCTTCAGCTCCAGGATACAAAATCAGAGTATTGGGATTTCTGCACACAGTTGCTAATTCAGGATACCTTCAATGCACAAACACACAAAATGACAATAATTATCAAAAGTTTTCATGACAAATATGTACTTCCAGATATTCCAAGTTACTAACTCCCGCTCCAATTTCACTTAAGTTTCAAAAGAAGTCCATCACTCAGCTACCACTTTCTGTTTCCAACAGCTCAAAAGTTGCTGGTTCTCTCTCAGCTCCTAAAGGGCGAGGAAAAAAACACCCACAACAGTAATCAATGAAAACTTGATGAAGCAACATATCAGGAATATTTACTGAGGCTTTAATCATTAAGTCTCTAATGTCTACTAGAACCAAAGATGTTTTGAATTGTTCACCAAAATTTAACGCATATATTCTAGCAGAATTTGTTCAAGCACTTGGCACAAAAATACTACAATCATCCACTTTCGAATCTTGTATATTTTACCACCTCAATTTATCTTTTTTTTTCTTTAATTACTACTTCTGCAGTTACAGTCCCCAAACTTGTACATTCTCTTCTTCCTTCCTGTTGCCTTCTAAATTTGGCATCGGTTACAGAGGAATAACTACTGTCTATTAAGTGTTCACTTAATGTACATGGAAATTCCTCAAGTTTTTGCAGGACAGCACTGTAAGTTGTGAAAAGGAGCTGCGAAAGCATGCACTTTGTGATTTCTAAATAATTAGTGAAATATGTACGAAAGACCTCGTATTTGCTTCTTACATGAAATAGAGAAAGAATGTTAAAACAAGTTGTGAAGGACAAAATGTTAGAAAACTGAGAAAACTAGCTAAAAACTAACGAATGTCAGGAGAAAGATAAAACAGAATGATTCACTGTAAGGTTTGATAAAAAAGTATCTATGTAAGCCTTTTTCTTCTACGCATGCCCAAGAAATTGCTAACGTGAAGAGTTCAGCAAAAGGACGAGTGATGAAGACTACGAAAAGCCCACCGGAAGAAGTAAACGACCACCAAAGATACTGTAACATCTACAAAAGGACACTAGATGGCAGCAAAACCGCCGAATAATTAGCTCATGTATAATTAACTAGTTCTAAGAAAGGGTGTGCCTTATGTTAATGACTTCTTTTCTATGAAATTAATATGCAACACTCTTGTAAATATAAATGACACCCCAAAGACCAGTCGTTGGGAGCACTTACAGTGGAGAATCCCTAGTGTGACCCCAGTGCTGTTAATGAAGAATACCTGCTTAACAGTAATTAATTTGCTGTTGAGTGAATTTTCTTCATTTCAGTTGGTTTATAAAAATCTATGAAAGGCATCGTCATTTAAGTAGTATTAGAAGCCTCAAAAACCACCTAGTCAAGTAGGCTGCTAAGGGAGAATCTGAGAAAAAGCTGGCCTTGTAACAAAGACTGCATTACTTGTCTTGAAACAATTTCAGTAGTATCATCATGTAATCTTCAGAATTGCCTCAATCAGAAAGCAGGAAGAAATACAAAGCAAGGGTTGATTGTTTGAAGCATGTGACAAAAAGTAAGAAATTAATTCTGCATAGCACCTCAGAGGTTATAAGGAGTAACTGATGTGGTAGGAGGAGAAGAGCAATATGTAGGTGAAATAGTGTGTGACTGCGCTCTGAAGTGGAAAGAGAAGCCAGTACATCTTAGCAGAGAAAATAAGGTGTATCAGAACGAGATTAACAATAACCAGTACACAATGTGGGCTCTCCATGCTACCTATCAAGAGCCACTACATGCACAAGCATGGACATAGACACAGGCAGGATGTAGATAGGTAAGTTCACACAGAGAAATTCCAAATGCCACGGTGACCCCACAGCTTTTAAGCACCAGGAGTTGGGCAACTGCACACTCCAAAAATCAAGCAAAAATTTCCTTTCTTAAAAGGGAGGGGGGGGGGGGGGGGCGGTATAAAGAAATGTTTAATACTGGGTTTTGAGTTGATAGATATTAGATGTACTTCAAATCTGTGCACTCCATTATCATTCTCTGAGGATATACATAAAACCACTATTTTATCAGCATTAGGTTCAGGCAGAATTGCAGTGCCTAAGACACTGAGATCCTGAGCTTAAGACTCATATAGGACCATATGGGAAATGTCCGAAATGAAAGTGGAACTGAATTCAGTGTGCCAATAAGCTATATTGGCAAAACCAATATTCCAGTATTTGACCATCCTCACCCCGCCAAACAAACAGTCCAGACTGATTCAACACTACATGGTTCATTACTGTCAACACTACTTACTTAAAAAAGAGTAATGATTCTTCCTTCCAAAATGAACAGTAAAAGAAGTGTAAATAGAGACAGGACATCTGTAAGGTAAGTTTGTGGCAAATGGAAGTACATGGAAACTTCTCTGCCCACTATTTTTTTTAAACCTTACTTACACTATGGTAATTTGGTATCAGTTTAGTTTAAGCAAGAATCATGCTACACAAAATCAAAAGCAAGGGGCTATCTCACTACAGACTATCTAGCACTCAAGGTTTAAATCTAGAAAATCAGTCATTATTTTCAGATGTTTGTCTTAAGAACCCAACTCCTCGAAGAGCAAAGTATCCTAATTCTGGGATAGCAGAGCTTTCAAATCATTAACATCTCTCAGATGGTTAAAAAAATAATAATAAAATAGTCCATAATGATTATGAAGCACTACAAGTTCATATTATGAACACTACAACAGAAGTCTTAGTCTTTGAAATACAGTTCAGTTGAAAACGGTGGTTTTCAATGCATACTCATCCAAGATTTCCAGTTATTCCAGTTTACAACGGCTTATATGCAAAAGCAAAGGCAGGAGGGTGGTTCAAACAAATTTTGTAAATCTGCCCCACAAATTTAACCTGGGATATGAGGGCTGATTATGCATATACTGCCATAATAACTCATAATACTTTACAAACTAGTAGAAGTTGCTGCTATCTTCAGAGTTAACTATCCACAGACTTAATCCTAGAGTGACACTGAGCACATGCAGAGAGCTATTTAGTACTCTTCCATTTCACAGGAACAGGTTCTCAGAAATAGATTCTGCACAACACCTTCTAGGTTATGATTCACACTGACCTAGCCGTGTGTAGTCACAGTCCATGTTAGAAGCTTTATTAAAACATGTGTCTTCCATTCATAAAACACGCTTGTCCTTTCTTCTGTAGAACAGCACAGAAGGAATGAGCTAAACATAAACACCTAATGATTTGCTAGAAAGGAATATAGTTTGTATAAAACAAGTTCAAAAAAAAATTTTGTATTTATTTCTATACAGGTACATCCTGTTAATTCCACTGCAGTTTTTGTACTTGCTGGGTTTTAAGGTTTCGCTGCCTGTTAGTTTGTTGCTGATACATAGTGCCACTAGTGCCATACCACCACCATTAAGAATCTGTCCCCCAAACCAGTTTTTATGTATATTTTATGTATATTTTATGTATATTCAGCGACATTTAATTAGATCTGGGAAAGAAATGAAATGTCTCAGTAAAAGACTGAATTTGTATCTAGTAAATAAAAAGGAATCTATTAACTGAACAGATTGATACAGCTTCAAAAGGCAAGTACTTACCAACAATATCACTTTTCAGAGCCACTTAGAAGAATATGCTTCTGACACGGTTGCTTTGGGTAAACACTGTAATACATTGTATTTAATCATACACTACTCCTGAAATACTACTATATGGCAGAATTTTCTCTAGAAGTCACATGTTTTTAAAGGAAACTTGTAGGAAACAATTGTGAAAAATTAGCTATTTCACTGTAATGCTGAAACTGAGCTGTTGCCTTTTAACTCTTTTGAAAACCTGATCCACGCCCTACAGTATACTATTTTCATATAACCTTTCACTTGTATGCTTAAGCTTACTACAGCGTGTAAGTAAAAGGACTAGGAATTAGATTTCATCTTCACAGAGTTTTACTTCTAAAAGTAAGTGCATATAATCCTACTATAAAAACACATTCAAACAATGTTAATACTGATTTTTTTGAATGCAAATAATTTATTCCATTGTTCAAGTACAAGAGTGATTTGAAACAAATAGTATGGTTTATTAAAAATACAGGAGACAATTTCACTAAGGCTGATGTTTGTATTCATGATAACTCATGAAATATTAAAGGATATATGCCAGTTTTGAAACTCTCCTCAGAGTCACAGCAAAAGCTCCTTGTTCAGTCTTGTCCTACACAGAAAAATGTTGGGTTTTTTTTTTCCTTTTATCCCTGTCTAAATTTCCCCTGCAAAACAAGGGTAGAGTCATAACCTCAGTATCAGGTCAGTCGGCAGTCCAGACTGCCTTATTTAGAATGACTAGAGAGAAACTTCAGGCCACACACTAGATCACTGCACTGGGAGGTAGATAAGCAACTTCTTAGCAAGACACATCTCTGATCCCAAGTTTTACAAATGGTTAAAAGCTGAGAGAGCAATTGGGTATTCTCACTAGGCTTGTAGTCACTCTTCTGTGAGGTCTTTATTCTTTGGGGTGGCTTTTGTTTGTTTCTTTCTTTCTTTCTTTTAAATTCAAGCTACTTTTATTTAAATTCAGGAACACAATTTTGTAGTCCAGCTAGACTTGTATATGTGGGAAAATTAAGCCCAAGAGAAATAGAGGTAATTTATGAGCAGAAGGCCGAGTTAGGATAAGCACAAGGACAAGCTAAGAGCACAAGCTCAAGCAGTCACACCAGAAGAAGCTAGTCCAAGCTACCGGAGGAACAGTTGATTATGACGATGGAAGAGTTTCACACATCAGCTGCCTGCAGTCAGAAATGTGGTCTTCTTGGTTTCTTGCCATCTTGTGACATACAGCAGTACACAGTTTCACAGCATTTGTGACTGTGAACACAGCAAAATGCAATATGCCTGTCATCAAGTCATGTAGCTTTGGCAGTGCAGATGGAGAATGCGGGGAGATGTTTGTGCTGGAGGCAGCAGTTGCTGTAGACAAGACAGCTGGACCGCATACCTCACAACAAAGCTTTGTTTATGCAACATCTCCACAAATAAGCTTGTCCACTAGTTTATGACAACCTG